TTAGTTCGGACGCCAAAAACCAACGCCGAAAACCGAATGCCGAACGCCGGTTTCTAAAACCCGAACGCCGGATGGCTTGGTTTTTGGTTTGGGCGAACACCAAGTGTTTTTAATGTTTTAAACATGTTTGAAAAACATTTTTATGATGTGAAATGCAATGAAAAGAATTTTAGCCTAAAGAGCCAAGGTGTAAAGATTGGGTCGGTCTTGATCACAATTGTGACCGACTCAACGACACTAAGACTACGGTCTTCGTTCTTGGTCTTCTTTTGTCCCTTGTTATCTTTCTTCTCATCTTTGGTTCTCGCCTTGTATATTCAATGACTTGTCTCGTTCACGGCGGTTTGGCATTATCAAAACCTGTCATAACAACGAACATGGCTTTAGTACGAAAACGTGATAAACCCGTGTTTCAACACAGTCCACTTTCCACGTCTGTCAGAATATTGGGTAGGCACGTGGTCTTGGGAACAGTTAAAAACCCAATCGCCACTATCCGCATAAATCGCCCAAATTAAACCCAATCGCCACTATAATCAGATCTCAACTGCTCACTCAGCCCACTCAAATTTTTCATCGTCTTCTTCGCGAGAACCTTCTGATAGAATTCTCAAGAACCCTAATTTCTTCAGATCTTCTCACTCAAATTTCTGAGAAAATGAAGATTGTTGGCACTAATGTCCATTTCCAGAAGTTGGAAGCGAAGTGCTCTTCACCAACGTTCTATCAATCCTATCTGGAGATGATTGCTGCTCAAGAGCTCTCCGAATTCCTTCATATGGAGATTCGATTCAAGTATGAGAACGAAGTTCTTGAATTCTACAAGAATGGAAAGGTCAAGACTGTCAAATCGAAGAAGGACCCACAGAGGTCGATTTAAGTCATCAATTCCACTGTTGGAGGGACCAAAGTGAATCTTTCGCAGAAGAAATTGGGAGAAAAGCTTCACCTTCCCAATTCTGGAGTTGAAATTGGGAGACTTCCAGCCAAGAATCTGGATTGGAATATTATTGGAATTTCTGGGCAAGTTCCTTCTGGCCCAGCGAAGAAAGATGATCTGAACAACGACTACAAGCTAGTCCTTGAACTGGTCATTGCATGCCTCGAGTGTGGAAGTGGAGGACATGCTGATGACATCACCCAAGAGAGGGCCTTCATCATCAATGCCCTCATTACCAAGTCTAAGGTAAATTGGGCTGCACATTTCTTCAATTCCATCTCAAAGCATCTGGGAAAACCCAACTAGAAATACCTTTGTCAAGGTCTGTACATTGGACATATTTTGGAGTCCATGGGTTCTGCTTCTGAAGGAAAGAAGTATGAAGCCAGATATTGGCTATACTACCTGTCTTCCAAAGGGGAAAACAGAGCTGGTGCTAGCACAACTGCAGAGGATGAAGCCTCTTCAGACAATATTCCCATCATAAGTCTGAAGAAAATAGCCAAGAGGAAACATGTGGTGTCTCCCTCTCCTAGTGTTGAAGCACCACAGAATCTTGCTCTGGTCAATATGGAAGAAGAAGAAGAAGTTACTGCCCAAGAAGAACCTCAAAGGAAGAAGAAGAGAAAAATCACCTCTCCCTCAACTTCTGGAAATGTCAACCCGGATGAGTTGAAGGAGAAGGAACCAGTTGAGAAAAACTCTGCCCACAGCCAGAGCCCTCAACAACTTGAAGAAGAAGTTCATCAAGTCCATAGTCTTCCAACCTCCTCACCTCAACCTCAAACAGATGATGCTGATAACCAATTCTGGCAGCTCTACTATGACTGGAGAGCTTGGAAGGTTGGAAATTCAGCAGAGCAGTTGTTGGGATGGGATCAACAATTGAAGAATAAAAAGATCATCAAGAAGTGCTTGAGACTGCCAGTCAACCACAGCTATGAACAAATCTTGGATGATGACTGGGTATGGCAAATGAACTATGAAGACTTGCATCTGGAACACTTGGCCACCACACCAGTTGCAGAATTTGAAGTGGATGATGAAGATCCTTCAATCTACAAGCCGATCTTCTCAAAAGCCACAGAAGATCAGATGATTCTCACTTCTGAAGCACAGGCTGATTTGGAAGCAACAGCTGAGGATTTCCCAATCTTTCCGGAAACCTCACCTTCCTTTGTAACGGTTCTGCCTGAAGCTGATCAAGAGAATGCAGCCTCTACTCCACAAGAACAGAACCAAGAAGCATCAGAAGAAGAAATTCAGCAACCTCTCAAATCTCAATTCCTTGAGATTCGCACAACTCCTAGTGAGATCTCCAACCAGCCTGAACATGAAATCCCGTAGAAGTCAGGAGAAATTCTAGAGCAGTCCACTCCTTCAGAAACAAATGAAGGCCAAGAGGAGCAAGCTGTAGAAATCCAAAGGAATTCTACAGAAGCTGAAAAGGAAGTTCAAATGGCAGCATTGGAGGCCCCTGAAACTCCAGTAGCTGTTTTTGAAGAGCAGAATGAAGGTGAAGAAAGAGACTCCCTCTCTAGGGATATATGAAATTTTATACTTGATGAAGCAGAGGAAGAATCTGAAAGAACGCTAAGGATTAATGATGAAGAAGATGTGCAAGAAGATGCCGAATCTCTTCCTATGCAACTCTTCCAAAGAACATCCTCTTCTCATCAGGTAACCAACTTTCATAGCTCTTCCATTCCTACACTTCCGGATGAAGTACCGGAAAACTGGACAAAGAAGGTCCAAGGGTTGATTGAATCAGCCCTAGCATCTCAGCATGCCTCCTTTAGGCAAGAGATAGAGCAGATGGAAGCCAGACACAACAAGCTGATTGAGAAATCTCAAGAGAGACACAGTTCAGATCTCAAGGAGATAAGCAAGTCAGTGCACAAGACTCTAGAGATCATCTCTCTATTGAGTAACTCTGTGAGCGACACAATGAAGACATATGCATCTGACAGTTATCTTCAACTCAAAGAAGTCAATAAAATCAGAGAGCAAATAGCAAATGTCTCAGTTAGTCTACAGAAGCAGATGTCCCTTCTCCAAATGAACATCAGATTAGCCGTGGCAGTGTCTTCAGCAAATCAGGTAGTAACCAAAGACTACTTGAAGGTTATTATTGACAATCAGAAGGAAGCATTCAGACTGCTCAGACACTTTAGCACAAGCTCTGGCAACCGCAAGATGGAAGTGATTCTTCAACAACACAGTCCATCCTTGATTCTAGAGCTCCCTATTGCAGTCAAGGAAGGAGAAGTCTCTTATATTCCTTCGCATCTAAACATGACTGACCTGATCCTCGAAGCTCAGAGAAATAATCCATAGAACTCAGCACAGCATCTATCTAGCTCAGGACTGGATGGAACAGAGGCTGTTGGAACCATTGTCTCCCATTTTTCAAATGATGCCCAAACAGAGGAGAGACGCAACAACATAAGGCGCATCAAAGAACTGTGTGGAAACATGCAAGGCATTAGTGAGAGTGCCGGATCTTCAAAGTGCAAGAAGCACTGAAGGCTTTTTTCATCAAACCAGGGGGAAAGTATGTGAAAACACTATTTTGCTTTGATGAAAACACCTTCTTGTTTAAACATTGCTTGTTTGGTTTAAACATTGCTTCAATGTTTCTCTTAATTATGCTTACTATGCTTCACTTTGAGTACGATTTTGAGATTTATTCTTGTGCGCATACATTCAGGAGGAATGTCATTCAGGGGGAATTTGAACTTAACTCTTTTCTTTTTGGCTAACAATTGTTTTTGGCAATGAATTATTGATGAGCTCTAAGCAATGGAAGACAAATATCTTAGTTTTAGTACTAAAGTTGGAAATCTCTGATTCAGGTACTTTACAAAATCTGCCCTCTTAAACTAAGCTCTAATCCTTAATTCATTTCCAACTTCGCTCTAAATGTACTGGTCCTTAGGATTTTTAATGTACAGGACTTTGGAAAAATAGTACCACTTTTCTTTTAAATAAGTTACAAATTTTTTTTGGTACTACCTCGTCCTTTTTAGAAATTAGAACTATAGGGAATGAAAAATGATAGTTTTATTTTGGGCCTTGAGAACCCAATAGGAATAAGTTCCCTTTAGTGCATAGATTTTTTTTGGGCCACTCTTTTGAGCTTAGCAAAACCAAAACAATTACACTTTTCAAACCAAACGAAACTGATTTTTAGTTTGAACAGTTTCAACACATTGGTAAATGGTAAAAGATTCCCTCTACTTTTCAACTTCTTGAAAGTTGAAACTCTTTTACTCTCACCGTTCCAACTATCCAATTAATGGAACCCGTGAACCTCTCCTCTCTCTACCTCCTCTCCTATTTAAATCAAGACATTCCAATCCATTCCTATCACAAACAACTCTCTCAATATGAAAAGTTTTCAAACTCACTGTCTGAGAAACACATCAAGAAAAATATCCTCAATGGAGAAATTTTTCTTTCTCACCCTCATAGACGGACATGGAGAAAACCTAATGAGAAGAAAAGACTTTCAAGGTCTATGGTGAGAATCTGGGCAGTAGAGAAGGTCTGTGGTAAAAATCTCATATTTTTCAAGATTACACCATATACCTTCTCTGGAAACAACACTCTCTCCATCTTTGTTTCTTCTAATTCTTTTTAAAAATTTTCTCTCTTTCTTTTATTTGTGCAGTCTCTGCACCCTTTACCCAAGCATTTTTTTAAATTTTTTTTCTTTTTATCATATTTTTCTCTTTAAAACTCTTTTTCAAAGTTTTTTTTCATCTTTAAACCTTATTTTATTTTTTTACAATCAATTCTCTTTTCCAAAACCTTTTTCTTGTCCTTCTCCCTTTTTCTTTTCTTCCACCGCCGCCTCCTTTCCTTCCACTTTCTTTTTGTTCTTGTTTTTTCTTTTTGGAGAGATGTTGGTTCCAAGATCTCAAATATCCACTTTGGATATTAAAGATCTATCAAACGCACCGCCATCTGTACTACCAAGCAAAATCTGCTGAAAGTGAAAGCGGCAAATGGCAGAAAATATCACAAATCTCAAGACAAGACTTGGTTTAGGAATTATTGTAATTTGAATTGTATTTGTCTAAGAGTTTTTTTAACAAGTTGTATATTATGAGAAACTAAAAGAAAGTTATAAAATTAGTTCTCAGTACAGGGACCGGAACTCTTGAACACTTGTTTGTCATCATCAAAAAGGGGGACATTGTTGGGAAAATATTATAGATTTTGATGATGATGTATTTAGATTGTAATAGGGACGTTAGGCCTCCCCCAATATTCAATGTAATTTTTCTTTTTAGAAATATTTTTAAAATCGAGTTCTTGAGATTTCCAATAAAGTTGTGATATTTTTTTAAGTGGTTTGATGCTTGAAGACTTAATCAAATTCTGTGATATGGAAATTGGATATCTTGATCGGAAATGTCAGAGACAAGTAAGGATTTCTCAAAGCAGATGAAGATCCTCTAATCCGGAACACTACATGATAACCGGATGTCTCGCTACAATTCGCTGAAGGCTAAGTCATTCAAATCGGAAGACTAGCACGGATCTCTTTCTCACCCGGAAGTCTGCGAATGACTCTTCCGGATTTGTCAGCGAAAGAATCGGATTCCTCAAGAAAAGATCGGAACTCTTAGAAGTGGACAAGTGAGAAAAGACTTAGAAAAAATTCTAAGTCTTGAATGAAGAAATTCTACCCGTTGGTAAAGAAAAATCAATCTCTTGATTTTCAACGGCTAGATTGAAGATAATTAAGCTGATTCAAGAACAAATTACTTGAAGACAAAGTCTGGACCCCTCAAATTAAAGAGCTCGTCTAGAATTCTTAAACAAGCACTAGAAGACAAACTGAGTAAAGTGCTACAGTCTAGAATTCTTGAACAACAGCTAGAAGACGAATTCTGTGGAAAAAGGAATCCCTCCTCAAACAATTGGGTATGTCCAAACACCACTCCAATGAGGAATCCTCAATCACAATCTTCATTCAAAATTGAAGCGAGCAAATGCAACGGGTAGTCTATTTTTTATTCAACGGATAGATTATCCAATCCAGCTATAAATAGCAACCTTGGAAGAGTGGAGAAGATATAACGAGATAGACGAACACAACGAAGCAATCTCTAATAACAAAGCTATCTCATTCACAGTTAGCCTAAAAATCTTGATAAAGAGAGATTTCTAAAACTCCTTATCCAGAAGCAAACTTCTCCTTCTTCCAAAGAGCTATAGTCTAAACACTTGAAGGTTTCCTTGCCTCAAGTACCACACCACATTGAAGGATATAACTTTTGATCAAACTTCTTGATTAAAAGGGGGTAGATCAACTTTCTCACAAGTTGATCTTGCAGGTCCTATTGTTCGGATCTTGCAGTTGTTGAAGAAGTTGCAAAGATATACCGTGCAGAAATTCACACAAGTGTAATTGTTGGTTCATTATTCAACAACCAACTACATAGTGGATTTTGAGGACGTAGAAGAATTACCCCACCTTCGAACCTCGTTAAAGTTTGCGTGTCTCTCTCTTTTATCTTTACTCTTACTTGGAATTATATTAACTGTGAAAACTAACCCATCCATATTGATTACTGCTCATACTACCCACCAAATTCCGCACACAATCTAAAGTTTCCAAGAACTCTAGATTTACACTATTTTCATGTTTTCAAAAGAAACGAAAAAGTTTTAAAATTGTAACAAAGTCTATTTACCCCCCCTCTAGTCTTTGTATCTCACCACTTTGGGACCTTTAATCACACACACAGATATATATATATATATATATATATATATATATATATATATATATATATATATATATATATATATATATATATATATATATATATATATATATATATATATATATATATATATATATATATATATATATATATATATATATGGGGGTTTGTTTGATTTGGAGTTGAGCTTGTCCGTCTTAGGACCTCTTGGTTACACACTTGGCATGTGGAAATACGAGAGAGAGTTTTTCTACACCAAGTTGGGGTTACCTTTCACATGGACTCCCTAATATTCCAGCAAGACCAAGACAGAGAATTGGCCGGGCAACTTTTGTAGTTTTTGATGTTTTGGATTTATTTTCTAGTTGTTTTCCCTTATGGCGTACTATTGGGGAAATTATACCATACAACCGGTTGTACACAAAATTTGGTACAGCCGGTAAATCAAAGAAGTAATGGCGTCTATAGGAGGAGCTAGTCGGGTTGGGTCGGAGGAAGGAAGCTGCGTCGAAGGAGAGCGGCGTCAGATCTGGAGGAAGAAAGCGGTTGTATGGAAGGGAGATGTGCACCGTGGATGGAGGAAGCTGTTGATAGGCCGGAGGAGAGATGGGAGACGCTGTGGAGGAGTCGATCGATCTGATCGGAGCCGATGGTTGCAGGGGAGCCGATGGAGCCGAGAGAAAAAAGAAAAATATTGATGGTATGAATTTTATTTATTTGAGAATGAACATTAAGTTTTTTAAGAATGAGTACTATTTTATTTCAGAATGTACATTACGTTATTTGTAGATAAATTTTATAATTGTATTGAATAAATTTGTGAAAATGAGTACTACATTATTTTAGAATGAGTACTATATTTTTTTAGAATGAGTACCACATTATAGTTATGTTTGTGCAAGAATGAGTACTACTCTACTTCAGAATGAGTAATACCCGGATGTACCTATCTCTAGGTACATCCCGTTGTACGATATGGGAACTCGTACTATTGGGCTTTTTTCATTTGGCTGTATTATTGGGGTTTTTGGCCACCCCCACATTTGTACTTCTTTTTTTCAATAAATTTTCTTTCGTTAAAAAAAAATAAAAAAATAAAATAAAAAAAGAATATATATATATATATATATATATATATATATATATATATATCAATGGGGGTTTGTTTGATTTGGAGTTGAGCTCGTCCGTCTTAGGACCTCTTGGTTACACACTTGGCATGTGGAAATACCAGAGAGAGTTTTTCTACACCAAGTTGGGGTTACCTTTCACATGGACTCCCTAATATTCCAGCAAGACCAAGACAGAGAATTGGCCGGGCAACTTTTGTAGTTTTTGATGTTTTGGATTTATTTTCTAGTTGTTTTCCCTTATGGCGTACTATTGGGAAAAATATACCATACAACCGGCTGTACCCAAAATTTGGTACAATTACTTCATTGGGAGTAAAACTAGGATAGTGAAACTATAATAATACTACTTTGGGAGTAATAAATATATAGTAAAAATATTTATCTTATAAATATTTCTTTATAATATTTTGTGTATATTTCTAACACTTTAGAAAAATAACTTGGAACACAAAATAATAATTTTCTCCTCTCTCTATGGCCGAAAA